TACAATAAAACGTAACGCGAGCCAGTGAAATTTTCGACGGTCGATCGCGGTCGAAGTATGTATAGAGTTTGGGAATCGACTAGCAAATCTAAAGTAAACTCCCGGGACCCCGAGTCGTTCCTCCAGTTTCTAAGCAAGGAAAGCAACTGGGACACGACTCAGCTAGCGAGAAGATAAGCAGACGATCTTGGGACGATCTATCGTCGTTCATCCGAGGGGCAAGCCAAGGGGAAATGTTATATCTTCGTAATTTCTGAAAGAAAATCCACCTACTAGATCCTCTCGCTGATAGTCTCGTGCTAAAAGTCACTTGAAATAACATACTCGCTCGAAAACGAACTGCGCCAGCGATCGGAGCGAGGTCGAACTTGGACGATAACGATTAACGACGCCGATTCTGATTAACGACGATGAATTTGCCGATTAAACTATCGATCGAGAGGCAAGTCTAACTCCGCTGGATATTTCGACCGAGAAATCTTCCAACTCGTCTGACAACTACGTACGTATATCGAGCAAAGAATCTAATATCTGACGGTGGAAGAGTGGAGAGACTTGGCTCGAAATTCCGATTTCCCAGGAACAGACGAATTAATTTTGCTAGATCGACTCGATATTTCGGGCGAGCCACTTTTGTTATCAGAGCTGCTCATTATTAAAACTTCGCGCGCTTTTATTGGAAATTTTAAAATGCAGAACGTGAAACGCGCGTAGAAGCAATATGCAAAATATCGGAAGCTTCGTGCTTTATATATATATGTATATATTTTTATGTAAAACGATACTGCGTTTCGAGGTTCGACGTTTTTTAATCGCATTCGTCAAAATATAAATTTGCACAAGAATCTACAGAAACGCATCCTGTTAGATGTTCCATCAGAAATGTACTGAATGTTTTAAATTGTATCATACAATGTGACATGAAAATCTGAAAATTTGACAATTCGAAAATAGAAAATTTGCAAAACTTGGACGATTATTAAAATGAACAACTCCCCTCAAAACGCCCCAGGGTGAAATGATCCCAAAACAAAACCAGTGAATAAATTTCAATTTAAAATAAACTTTAGAATAGATTTCAATTTAAAAAAAAAAAGAAAGCACCAAGAATTAACCGTTTAAATATCAAATTATGTAAAGTCTGAACAATACAACGTTCAACAATACAACAAATTAATAATACATTCGCGTTTAAACGTACACCTCTCGATATGTTTGCTCGACATATTACCCAATAAGTAAACCAAATTATTTTATCATCGACACTCACACAGATTAATCTCTACATATTAATTTCCACGTATAGCACGTACGAGAGGCAAATCAGTGTAAGTCACTTTCAATTGAAAGTAATTTACGCCGCACGAAACGTGTTTTTTCTCTCCGCAAACCTTCAGCCGACGAAACAGATTAATTATAATATCGTATATATATCGTATATAACAACGTTGCACTACAGTGACTACGCTGTACTATCTAACTGACACTTTTAACAATAAAAGGACATTTATTTTTAGTAATTGGGGGTTCGAGGTCTCCGTAAAACGAGTGACATTGATGTGAAAATCGTCGATCCCACTGTATTCTCCATTTGAAAGAGAAAGAGAGAGTACGCCTCAAAGGAACATTTGCATCTCCGAATTAAATCACGCTCGAGTCGAAGAGGGAAATTACCTGCAACTGTTTTTTTTTACAATTTCGGCACTCTGGGTCCTGAAGCAGTTTTCATTAAATCGCGGTTCGTTAAGTGCGCGTTTTAGAACGCGATGGCGGGCGAGTCGAAACGAAGGGGAGGGGAGAGAAACGAATAAACAAATAAAGAAATGGAAAATAGTAAGGAAAACGCGGGGGCGCAACGTCTAACTTCCTCCCGGCGAGCATTGCGCGATATTTACTGGGTTTTCTTTTGTTGTTTCGCCGGCACCGACCGCAAAGTTTCATCCCTTTTCCTTTCTCTCATTGACTGTAATGTACCGCGTGAAAGAGGCTAACGCGTCCCGCCTACGAAAAGGGGGAAGTTCTTATCGCGGTATTGTTGCTCTTTCGTTCTTGTTTCGCAAAAGACCAAAAGCGTCCGCCTACGAAATTAAATTAGCTCCTTCTGTTTCCTGGATCTGGCTTGACCGCTTCTCTCCGCAACCCTTCTCTCCTTAAAAGTAATTCAATTCCTTCCTTATGCCCCGCGCGACCATCGCCCTATTCCAACATTTTCCCTCGTTTTGCCCCTCGTTTAACCAAAAACCGACCAGATTAGGCTCGTTTCTTCCTCCTGCTGTTACAGTTCAAAATCTACTCTTGATTAACCTTTTTTTTTTCACCAAATGCGGACAACTTTATGCTTGGACCGTCAAATTTGACTAGTATAGTATTATTTCTTTGCGCCTCGATAAGATTGAACATTATAATTTTTATTTTATTATCGTTTGATATAGTTTAATGTTGAATGTAAGTATATAATAATTGAAAGGAGGAGCATACAATGGCCACAGAAAGTATTCGCACACCATTATATTTATTACATTATAGTATATTGAATACTATATTATTTTACTATATTCGATACTGTACTAATATAGCATATAGTATAGTATAGTATAGTATTGAATATTATTATACTATAGTATATCGATTTTATTGAATGTATGATATAGTATATAATAATTTAAAGAAGGAACACACAATGGCTGCAGAAAGTATTATTTCTTTACGTCCCGATATTTTCTAAATTGAACATTATTATTTTTATTTTATTATCATTTGATATCGTTTAATATTGAATGTATGACATAAGTATGTAATAATTGGAAGGAGGAGCATACAATGGCTACAGAAAGTATTTGCACACCATTATATTTATTACATTATAGTATATTGAATACTATATTATATTACTATATTCGATACTGTACTAATATAGCATATAGTATAGTATTGAATATTATTGTACTATAGTATATCGATTTTACTGAATGTATGATATAGTATATAATAATTTAAACAAGGAACACACAATGGCTGCAGAAAGTATTAACTGCTTTATTTACTACAATATATATAGTAGTATAATATACTATAGTAGTGCAGCACACTGTATAAATAGTATACCATACTCTGTATAATAGTATAACATACTCTGTATATAGCATAGTACAGTAATATAGTAGTAATATTATGTTGTTACCTACATTAAGTTTATAGGTAATTAATATTATTATATACAGTCAGCCGTTTATATATAATAAAACAATCATGAAGTTTGTTACGGGGATACTGTACTAATATAGCATATAGTATAGTGTAGTATAGTATAGTATAGTATTGAATATTATTATACTATAGTATATCGATTTTATTGAATGTATGATATAATATATAATAATTTAAAGAAGAAACACACAATGGCTGCAGAAATTATTTGCTGCTTTATATTTATTATATTATATATAGTAGTATAATATACTATATATACATAGTAGTGCAGTATACTGTATAATATACTGTATATATAGCATAGTATAATAATATAGTAGTAATATTATGTTGTTACCTACATTAAGTTTGTAGGTAATTAATATTATTATATACAGTCAGCCGTGAAAATCTATATATAATAAAACAATCATGAAGTTTGTTACTCAGTATCCCATTACTATGGATACATTAATCATGCTTTCGTTGTTATTATTATGATTATTGCTATTGTAATTACAATCAGAATATCGATTTACCATTCATATAATAATTCTACAGAATTCCTAATCTCATCTGTAAACAGTCCACATTTAACCAAACTGAACTAAATTAATTAAGATTCGGTCTTCCTTTATTTTAATTATCTGAAACTTGACAAACGGACGACATAAACTTCTGCGACTGACTGTATTTGTAATTGCATTCGTACAAACTATTTAATCTCATATTCCTAAAGCTATGATGTCATATCCAATAAAAAAAAGAATCCGATATCTGGAAATATTATTATTTATTTTATTCGGTATTTGTTGTTAGATATATTTATTTTACAACTGTAGGATCATTCTATGCTCAAGCGATTGCAACCGTCCAAACCTTATTCCCCTCGATCTCACTCGACTGCAAAACACGCGAGAAACATTCGAAACCGTTTCTCCCTTTTTCTTTCCCCTATTCTTCCGAGCAACAGACATATTCCCCTAAAATTATTGCCGCTGATGCTCGATAATACCAAGCATCTCCACGCTCGTTGTTGTTCTAATACAACGAATGCTACGTTCATTAAGAATGAACAATCGTTTAGTCGATCACCTTCTTTAGAGGTAAGGCAAAATTACAGCTCGCATGGTTTCGAGTTTAAAAAAAAAAAAAAAAAAAAAAAAAAAAACCCCGGGGGGGGTCTTTCCTTTTTTTTTTTTTTTTTTTTTTTTTTTGCACAAAGCAACGAAAAATTAACATATACATGTAAGCACAAAGCAATTGTCAGTCAACGCGTATTACGCTCTTATTATTATTATGCCCTACTATCGTGCGTGAAATCGTGTTTATAACCTTGCTGCACGCTCTTTTCAGTAGCAAAGGATATTATAGAATATTATATTGACGATCGTTCAACTCGGCTGTATTAATAACTGTCAGTCGATAACATGAAAATAGCCAACTAAATAAATTTTCGCGTTTCGGCGTAAAGAGAGACGAGATTTCCACGTATCCAGTTTTCAGTTTATTATTACGGCTGCTCGTCTCGTTTATGAAAGGAAAATCGACATTGTAAAAAAAAAAAAAAAAGAAAGAAAAAGGAAAGAATGTAACAATGATGATGATGATAATGTGGAACAACGTGCAGATATTGAACAGAAAATATTATAAAGAATTCACGTTTTTCTCTGATGCAAAATGTATCAGAACTTTCCCAACAATCCCACGCTGGAAAGTTCTGATCCCAGGCAGATACGAATTTATTGCAGAATAATTTGTAACTCTTTGACGCTCGGTAATTACAATTCCATTGTCGCGAAAGAATCGAAGATGGGGGAATTATGACGAAAATATTCTTCCCTTTTTCACCCATTTCTCGATTTATTGTTTTCTCTTGCAAAAGTAACTAATTACTGCATCTCGCTGTAGATTGTAATTAAACGCTTAGCGAAACAACGGATTGCCAGTAACGTTAAGTTGATATTATTTTCTCAAGTAAATTAATTCCCGAGTAACTGGAGAGACATTGCTTTGGAGAGGTGTTGTCATTGTTTAAAGTATTTTTATTTTTCAAGAGAGAAGAATTGCAAACGACCAATGGAACAAATTGATTTAGTGTAATAATATTCTCGAATAACCGGGGAATGTTATTTTCGTGTCTAAAACTCGAGTAGTTTTTTTACCATTTTCTTTTTTTTTTTTTTTTTTTTTTTTTTGTATCAATACGACGCAGTGGCAAAAATCCGGACAAATTGGAAGCTACCGGGACGTATAGTTCGTTAACACAAGCGTACTCGTGTAATTTCACTCGGATCCCTCAAACTCAATAGTCGATGAATACTAAACACACTCAATTAAAACTCCCCCGAGAAACTTTCGAAATTGACTAAAAGTGACTCACCCTCAACGTCGTCGCTTGCCGAGTTTCCGGAATTAAAGAGGTCATCTGAAACAGAAGTTCATCAACATTAGCCGAAGAAAATGGCATCCATGGTACACGTCGCAGCATTGCGGAGAAAAACGACCGAAAAACCGTGATTGCCGTGATAAAAATATTGCAGTGACAGTCGTTGGCCGACGATGAAAATCTATTTCGTATTTAATCCACGTTTGAATATTCGATATTTAATTACATTTAATTAACAAAGTGATCCATTTAATTCGGTTTAAAGTTACGAAAAATATGTTTCTCTTGAAAAGCATATTTTTTTTGAACTGTGTCACTATAATATATATATAATTATATCATATCATTGTACAGGTATAATATAATCCATACTTAAATATCGAATATTCAATTATATTTCATTAACAAAGCAATCCATCTAATTCTATTATTATACACGTATAATATAAACGACCCTGTATATTATAAAACCGTTGTACAAGGAAAAACAGAGACAGTGTTTTTCTATTCATGTTGTCCTCGTATTTCATGCATAAATTTTATAAAATTGAAGGTATAAAATATCTATCTCGAAAACTAATAATTTTTCGGTATACGTAGATTAATGCTTTTTTTATAGAAAATGTCGAGCTGGATTAAACGGATCGAAAAATACATATCGTATGGCCTCTCTGCACGTTCGTCTACAAAACAAAAGAACCTGGAGTGTGATTTGCTCAAAAATCTATTCATTTCTTGTTCAAACTATTTCTTTACATTTATGTATCATATATCACACTGTATCATATAGGACAGTATCGAACGTGTATTAAGGCAAGATACACGTGTACACGTGTACATGTGAAACGTGCATTCAGGAATTGAAGATCCGTGTTCTTAATACGCTTGTGCACGTGCCACGTGAATCGATAAACGTCCCGACACGTGCATTATAGAGACGAAGCAATGCGTATAGTATAATTATAATATAATAGTATGTAATAGTATACATAATAGTATAATTATAATATAATAGTATGTAATAGTATACATAATAGTATAATTATAATATAATAGTATGTAATAGTATATATAATAGTATAATTATAATATAATAGTATGTAATAGTATATATAATAGTATAATTATAATATAATAGTATATATAATAGTATAATTATAATATAATTTAGTCATATTAAAATTATAAAATATATATATAATATATAAATATATTATAATATAATTATAATAAATAATATATTATATTAGATATAATATTATATTATAATCGGGGTCGATTTAACTTTTAACAATTAGATATACTCAAGATGTGTTCAAAATCGATTTTATACTGCGAATCTGAAGTTTTTATACTACAAATCAATTTTAATTAAAATTAGATTAGAATATAATTGTAATATAATAGAATTTTAATATTTTTATAATTTTATTATAATATAATATAATATATATTATATTATATATTATACATAATATATAATATATAATATATATTATACTGTATATTATATTGTAATAAAAATATTAAAATTATCACAATATAGTATAATATAAATTGGTATAAAATTTAGATTTATAGTCAATATTGAATATTTCTTAACTATATCCGAATTAAATCGATTCCTATAATTTGTAGTATGTATAATTCTATTATATCACAATTATATTATAATCTAATTTTAATTAAAATTATTATTATTATAATTTATAGTATAAAAACTTCAGATTCGCAGTGTAAAATCGATTTTGAACACATCTTGAGTATATCTAATTGTTAAAAGTTAAATCGACCCCGACGATTAATTGGTAGAAAATTAGACAAAGAATACAATAAATAAAAATAGAAAAAATTCAATTTGAAAATATTTCAATGATAATTCTCAACGATTCGAAGTTTTCTCAATCGTGTGTGCCAACGTTCTACATCATTAATCCTAAACGTACGACTTGAAAAGAGAATCGTGCATTTATGGATTAAAGGCGAAGCGTTTAACCGGGAAAAATGTAGTCCACGCGTTTTTTTTTTCACAAAGGATGCGTCCTCGTAATAATACGTCAATTACGCGCTCGGAATTAGCCAAGTTTAAAAGCGCACTTGACGAATTTTCAATCTCGATCTCCTCGAAAACGGAGGGCTTAGTGAAGAAAATTCTACTATTCTTTCCTTTTTTTTTTTTTTTTTTTTTTTGGCTTATTTCTGCATGCAGAATCGCTGTAAACTACGTACAGTCTCGACACAGATCAATTAAATCGTTATTTCCACACTTCGTAATCTGTTTTATTAGATTTGCCGTGGCGGAACGACGGTGCGCCGTTGTGTAAACAGGTAAGAAGATTAAACGGACGATCCTTCTTTTCCTTTCGTTTCAAAATAATCTCTCCGAAGTAACCGAATTATTTATCGATTCCGGAGGGTACACAAAATCAAGGCGCTGTTATCGCTTACATCGCCTCATGTTAGAAACACAGCGAAGCACCGTTTGTGTGCAAACCTGTCGCAAAACAAATCAGTTCGTGTAACTGAGGTTCGTGTAACAAGAGCTCGTTAATTCTGCTCGTTATTCGTGAGCTCGCGTACAGTACAAATATTTATCTCTGTCGTACTTATTTATTCATTTATTTATTTATTTATTGTTGTTATAGTTCATCTACTTATTCATATTTGAACTACTTTACAATTCGTTGATTCGTACCTGTGTAAATGATTGAAGCAGTCCTTTAATTTTACTTTTATCACGCCTGTTTATCTATTTATTATATAATAATATATATATAAGTATAATAAGTATAAATAAGAAAAACAAATAATTACTTTGTAATTGCAACATTTAACCACTGTGATTTTTCGTTCGTCTGATACAAGTTCACGTTCGGGCAAGTGGATTTAATAGAAAACTTAAAATAAGTGGATTCTCTAATTTTTTTTTCTTTTTCATCGTAAATTAGAAATAGATTGCAGATCTCACGCGTTACGTATTAAAAGTTGCGCGTAAGATTAAAAGTTGCGCGCGTGTAAATATATATATACACACAATATAAAATATCGAAAGTACAATATTTGTTACAATATCTGGCGAACGAACGGAAAAACAAGTTTCTATTTAGATGAAAATTTAAAAAATTCATGAAAGTCTGACGGGAGGAGGGGAGGGGAGGCATCGAAACTTTAGCGCACTGTCGAGCAACAATTTTCAAACTCGCGAATGCGAAACGGGACTTCGCTAATACGAAATTAATAACAACAACTTTCGAAAAACGTTTAAAATCTGTTAAAACGTTTACGTATACCGTGACGCGCGGCGATGCATTATTGGCGATCCGCACACACGGGCACACAATGCACACGAACGTTCACTATTCAAGGTATGATAAACCTGTGTACACGGCGAGATTACGCGTTTACTCGTACTTAAGCAACGCGATATTTCACCCGACACTGGGTGACATTTATTATGCAAATACTCGATTGGATTACCGAGAGACTAATGTGACAGGTAAATTTCGCTCGCCATCGACGTGGATCCTAAACAAACGCAAAGTTTCGATCCGGAAGTTCATCTTCCACGGACAACCATCGTGGTATTTACTATTAATATTTGCAGACACGTAACTGCACTTTCCGGCTGATCAATCATACGTTTAGCCGGCCTCGCGGAAATTTGCAATTCGCGGAATGTTCGTTTACTTTTTTTTTTTTTTTAAGAAATATAACCGCGGAAAAAAAAATTCGAGCCTTCACGATACGTGTGTGTATATTACACGTGTATGCACACGATGCTTTCATCGAATTTTATTTGCCGATGGGAGCGACGTAGCACAACGTAGATGTTGTGTTTTACAAAAAATATCTCCGGTGACTGGTTATTAATATTCGGGCACTACTCGGTGTTACAGAAATTATTGCTTTGCGTGCTTGTTGTCGAATTAATTGTCCTGTTTTTTTTTTTTTTTTTCTTTTCTTTTAATGCGTCAAAGCAATGTGAAAAAAAGTGATACAGCAAAATTCCAAAAAGTGATAGTAAGTTTGGAATTTTTATGAAAATCTGAGCGCGAACGAGCCAGCCGTTATATTCATTTTTGTATGTTTTTAAATATGTATTGTACACATGAAATATACATTTGTATTTAATATATATACGATATTATCTTATATATTATATATACGACATAATAATTATATATTATAATTATTAATATATACGTGATATACATATGAATAAATGCATTTTATACATATCGACCATTAATTATTTTAATTTTTATTAACTATTATATCAAACATTATATAATTATACAAAATTAACATAACTTGCTCGTCAACTCAACTCCACACCGGTTTTAAACCTCGACATTTTCACATTATCACCGCCTTTCGCGAATTAACGAAATTTTCTTCAAATCGTATTCAGACGATTGAAAACAATGAATTCGACGAGGCTGTTAGTTGCACAATGTCTGGGAACAACGATGAAGAATTACTGCATATACACGTTATTACGTAACCAAATTTCAATGTTCCATTTCAATGGGCGACTTCTCGCCAATCGGATTCATCCTTGCCTCAATACGGATATTCTATTCCGAGATATCTTTTGTGCCACAGTTTGTAGCTGCGGCGAACTCGTAGCTGACCACATCTTCGAAACGGATTAAATTGAATTTCCCGATCAATAAACCGTTCCGTGTAATGACCCAATTATGAAGTTATTGCTCGTTCAAGTGCGCCAAAGAAGCGCGCCCCCTTTCATCAATTTTCCGTAATCTTACCGTTAACATTCGCTCTAATTTCCCTTCTCTTCGTTTCTTTGAATTGAAAAGAAAAGGGCGCGACCATTGCCGAGGGGAACCAGCCCGCGAATTATTATTTTCGCGGTCACACACGCAGCTGAGAAACGAGAGGGGGGGAAGCAATCGAATTTAGACAATCTATCGATTAGCTTTAACAGTTGATTTCCACAGAGGAATTCCACCGCTGGGATGCTGGATTCGAATGTAGTACGGGAAACGAAACCAAAGCAATCGACTAATAATAAACTG